AGAACTCCCTAACCTGGCAGCTGACTCAAAAGGGAAAATTTATGAATAATCCTTCCATAAGGGGCTTGGATAACCTTCAATGTACTCCATAGAACGTAGAGGGCCAGGTGTTTGGGCAAGGCCATGTGAATACTCAGGAAAAACAGAAAGCCCTTATCTCTTATTTCTGAGCAAACTTGAGACTTTGTGCAGGCAGGAAGAAAGGCAAAGGTTGGGTTGTGAAATGCCTGCTGGAACGTGGATTAGGAGATTTTATTGCTTCAGGCATTATGAAGTCTAGTCTTTAGCTGACCGCTGAGGAAAACAAACTCCAGCAGCTGCACATGTCAAAGAATACAGAATTTGCAAAATTATTCTAGAAACATCAGTAAACAACAGCAATAATTTAAAAATACACCATGGTAGAGAAGAACCTGATTTTCAGATTTGCCACATTATTAAAAATGCCTGCTTTTCAATAAAAGAATATAGGGTATGCAACCACAGTTTTTGGTCTATGTGTTGAAAAGGCCTAGACACAATGAACAGTGCAGAGAAAAGGGGGGGAGACAGAGAGAAAGATCATCCATCCGCTGATTCACTCCCTTAGTGGCCAACATGGCTGGAGCTGAGCTGATCCAATGCCAGGTGCCACGCAGGAACCTCTTCACCTCTTCCACATCTTCCACATGGATGCAAAGTCCCAAGGGTTTGGGACATCCTCTGGTGCTTTCCCAGGCCCCAAACAGGGAGTTGAATGGGAAGTGGAGTTGCCAGGATACGAACTGATGCCCATAGGGGATCTTGGTGATGCAAGATGAGGATTTAGTCACTAAGCTATCTCGTGGGGCCCTAAAAAGAAAGATTCCTAAAGCTAAAGCATTTGCTATGTTCAATGAAAGAATTATGAGAACAACAATCATGAGAATTTTAACAACCAAACTTGTATCTGATGATTTCAAGACTTGTATTTGAAGTGAGTCTTACTGATCTGCAGAATGAAATTGCATTTACATAACTCAAGTAAAAACCGCCTGAGTAACTTTGTGGCATGTGTCTTACCCAAGACAAAACGTGTTCCATGACCAAAGCTCATGGTGTCAAGACTACTGACAGTCATTTGTTTCATCTGCTTGGTGTTGGTTTTACTAAAATTTGCAACAATCAAATTAAAAATTTCTTCTCAATACCAACACCAAATCCAGAAGATGATGGAAATCATGATCCAAAAAGTAAAACCAAGTGACTGGAAAGAAGTGGTCCATAGACTGATTCCAGACATGCCAGAAAAGAAGAAGAAAAGAGTTTTCCACTTAATAATCCTCTCAATGTTGTCTTTGTTATTAAAGCAAAGTTGCTGAAGAAACTCAAGTTTGATTTTGAAAAATTCACCCAGCTTCTTGGTGTTGACAGATTTTGTGAAAAAGCCATGGAGGATGAGACAGGTGTTAAAGCCAAATGAGCTGATGGATAAGCACCAAGAATCTATTTAAAATTTGGACTTTAATAAGGACAAATAAAAAGTCCTAGTTTTGATGGTGCTTCTGAAAAATATTGAGACAATCAAGGAAATTTCATGTTGATTAGATGTTTAATTAAATTGGTTTAGGTATGAAGAAATAAAAACAATGAAAGTTGAGTTTCATTTAGAGTAAGATGAAAGTGGATCCCTTCTAACTTCTGGAACAAGCTCAATGATAATGTTAGAAGATATAATGATGCTATTATCCCTCATGAAGAGATGAGAGACAATTTATATATAATATACATGTTATAATATCTATGTAGGGCACAGCGTGACATGTATGTATAGAATGTGTTATGATCAGAGTAATTGGTATACTTATTCCTTCAGGCATTTATCATTTTGGGGGCTTTGGAACCTTAACTCCTCTCTACTAGTCAATGTGAAATATTTTATTAATTGCATTCAATCATATTTATCCTACCATGCTGTGAAACATCAGAACTTACTCCTCATGACTGGTTTATCCCAGTACCTGTTATTCATCCTCATCATCTCTACCTCCCCTACACCCTTTCTAGTTTATGGGACTACCATGCTCTACTTCTATGACATCAACTTCTTGACTTCCATATGTGAATGAAAACATGCGGTACTTTTTTTGTTTAAAAAAAAAAAAAACCTATTTACTTGTTTTCTGGTCCAGCATGATAGCCTAGTGGCTGTAGCCCTACTTGTCATGCTGCAATACCAGTCCCTTAACTTTAATTTTAAAAAATGTGTTAAGAAAGGAAGACATGCATCTTTCAACTGTTCACTTGCCAAAGGCCAAATCATCCAGGGCTGGGCCAAAGAACCTGTTTGGTCTCTCATGCGGTTGTCTGATTTGAGTAACTGAGTCATTATCTGCTGCCTTATAGAGTGCATGATAACACAAAATTAAACAGGCAGTGGAGGAGCTGGGACTTAAACTAGGCACTCTAGTATGTGATGTGTGTTACCAGAAAACCATGGTGGGTTATTTCCTCGGCTTAATATAGAAATAAAAAGCCGGGAACCAGCTGGAGACAGGGAAGTTTGAGAAGTGACCAGGTGAATGGAGACAAAGGGGAAGGCACCTCCTGAGAGAAAGCCGGAGGTGGCGTGCATCTTGAAAAGAGGAAGAGAAACCAAAGGTTTGAGGAAAGATGTTGGGGTTTTAAGCTTTCCCTGACCCCTCCTTGTTGGGAGGGAACCTATTAGGTAAGATGTTCCCTATTGGTGGTCTCTCAGTGAAATAGGTGGGCAATGCTTGTGCCATCCACCTGAAGGTGTGGCCCAGCTCTCAGCAGGCCTGGATGCTCTCACTGTGGACAGCCCAGAGATGACTTGCCTGCTGCACCAAATGCTTGCTCCCACAATTTCTTTTTACATTTGCTTTGTGTTAGGTTGCAAATAATTCCAATCTGGCTTCCAAATGAATCACTTGCTTGCTCTATAGCTTCCTGATACGACTGTTAGTTTTGGTATTATTATTACTTCCATAGATAGTGTTCCTTTCAAAACCTGTTGGGTCATTTAGAAATTTTCCTACTCCTTGTAGGTATTTTCAACCACATATTTTATTTTTCTAAAAAAATGTACTGAGCAGTTATTCTGTAACCTATCCCATAATTTCAGTATCTATGAATTTTTTGTTGTTCGTATTCATGGTGTCCTTACCAGATGACTCTGAGCTGTTCACAGTCCTTACAGACTTGTTTTCGGAATTCTTTGAGGCTTGGGTTGAAAGTGTCCTTTCAAGAAGGATTTCCTTTCTTCTGCCAGTCAAATTTAAGCTAAGTTTTTAGTTGGAGTTTCTTTGCAATAGGTAAAGGATTTGGAATGAGATTACAAAGGCCAATTTACCTTTTTTTTTTTTCCTTAACTTGTTCAGCCCAGAACAAAAGCAATTTTAGTTGCAGTTTCCTAGGGCGTGGGGACTGAGCTGTTGCTTCACCCTCAACATGAAGGAAAATTGAGGGAGAGAGGGGACAGCTTCATGGCAGAAAGGGCTCTCCATTCATCAAGTCCTGAACTGACACTCAGCAGCCCCCAGGTGAACACTCCAGGCTGCAGGCCCTTCCGTGCTTGGCTGTCTCCAGGCTACCATCTGCACTAGGAAGTTGACCTGGTAATTTTTTTACTGTTTTGTTAATGCTTAACCTTAAAAATATAGTAGTCCCTCATCAGTTTCTTGTTTTCAGCAGCAGCAGGGTGTCAGAACTACCTGGCCTGCTGACTTTTCTGAAAAGTCTTCTGCTTCTGAGAGGTAGTTTTCCTAGTATGCTGCTATTGGTTTAAACTGATCACTCCTGGAATTTCTTCTTAATCTTCCCACATCCTGTGGTCAGATTCCTTAATTTTACTCTCTAAGTTTGTTCCTTCACCAAAAGATCTTTTAGATAGCCAGTAAATTAGCTTCTGTCCCGGTGATGTCTGTAGAAACTGAGTTGAAGTCAACTGCATCTAGTTTACTTGGCTCAAAGAACAATGCTGGAAAAAAGACTTAGATTCTCATCTCTGCTCTGAAGTTCACTGAAGTTCTTAAGAGTCTGCAGAACAAGCCCCCTTCCATTACATGCAAATTGTATTGTTTATTCACAACTGAAGAGTTTTTCTGAAAAAAGGTCTGTGTCTAACACTAAATTCTCATGGGCTTAAAAACCAAGAAAAACGGGCTGACATTGTGGCAGGTCAAAGATCCTCATCATTGGTATCTCTGTTTTTTTTCAAAAGATTTAAAAAAATCTTTATTGGAAAGTCAGATTTATAGAGATGAGAGACAGAGAGGAAGATCTGTCTGCTAATTCACTCCCCAAGAGGCCATAATGGCTGGTGCTGAGCCAATCTGAAGTTAGGAGCCTGGAGCTTCCTCTGGGTTTCCCACGTGGGTGCAGGGTCCCCAGGCTTTGGGCCGTCCTCAGCTGCTTTCCCAGGCCACAAGCAGGGAGCTGGATGGGAAGCAGGACCGCTGGGATTAGAACCAGCACCCATATGGGACCCTGGTGTGCAAGGCAAGGACTTTAGCCACTAGGCTACCTTGCCAGGCCCCATGGGCATCTCTTAAGAGCACTGCTGCATCACTTCTGATCACCTCCCTGTTAATGTGCCAGGAAAAGCAGCTGAAGATGGCCCAAGGCTTTAAGCCCGTGCCACACATATGGGAATCAGAGCTCTGTGGTCTCTCCAGTGGGCACCTATCCATCAAGTCACACTGTTATGTCTTGAAGCCTTTCTTGTCAATTACCCACCTAACAGATGCGGTGAAATGTTTGGGATGTAAACCTAAAAGCTCACCACCAAAACAACGCTCTGCCCCTCTCCCCGCCCAACCCCTAGACACAGCCCCGCTCCCAGATGGCTCCCCTCCAGTGTTGCTGAGCAGTGGCACTGCCATCCATGGAGTTGCACATGCAGAAAATGGTGAAAATGGCCATCCCCACTCTCTCAAACTCTAGTTCCTGAATTTGGAGGAATCACTGACAGAGGTAGTTTGGAAATGGCATTACTTGAGGCACAAATCAACATTTAATAGTATTTGACTAGTAGAGCTAAACTTTATTTCCATGTTTATTACATGTTTATCTTTGATGTTGAGTACATATCAGAACTGATTTGACATACAACCTGGGAGAAAGACTAACATTCTCCAGTAAGTGGGTTAAAAAGGAAAGTAAAACTACAAAATATTTGGTTATGAGTTCTAAATTACTATGGCAAACAATAAATACCTTGTCATTTTTCTAAGATGGATTTCAATATAAAAACTTGTGTAACAATTTATTTCAGGAAAGGAAATAAAGGATACTCATAAAAAATCATGTTCTTCTAAGTACATGGCACAAATAAATTAAGACTTTTACATAGAACTCTACTCCTATTTAAATTCTTATGACTTGAGGGGGATTAATCTCAACTGCAAATCTACTGACTGAATCTCACACATACCACTTCGTTTAGTCTGGAAGAATCAGGCTCGCTCTGGTGTGGCACACAGCAGAGCCGCAGCTAACGTTCCTGTAACAACCGGTGCCTAGAACGGGGCCGGTCAAATAGTGTGATCAGGGACAGAAATAGGACTCACTGGTGCCATTTCCTAATTTGTGGTTGTGTGCCAGTGTACAGCTCTCAGCATTCTCAATTCAAGATTAAACTACTCTAGGTATTTTAGAGTTGGTGACACAGAACACAAGAAACTGAAGCAGAGACCTTGGTGGGTGGGTTGCTTTTGAGAATAAACAGGGCTTCTCACTCTAAGCCCCTCAGCACGCTGTGTGAGGAAGGTGTGACCTTTTTAATACTACTAATCTTTAAATACATAAAAGAAAACCAGCTTAAAATTAGGTCCTTAGTTGTTATTAAATGATGCTTATTGTTCTGCAAGTAACTGTTTAGAAGCATCTGTACAAACCTAACTTCCTCCTAACGCCACTCAGGGAATGTCTATAACTCGACTCCAATTCTAATGATAACTTCTTATGTAACTATGTAGACAGATGACTTATGGCTTTTCAGTTTTTAAAAATTCTCATTTAATGGCATGTTGTAAAGCTTTTCTAAATCAATCTTCTGGTAACAGATTCTTAAAAAGATTGAAGAGAGATAACACTTTGTATTAATTTTTTAGGCCTGCCTTTCCTGCACACCAACATTTCTCTTAAAACGCAAGGCACAATCTTTTCCTTAGAAGAGGGGCTGCAACTTTTGTATAATTTTGTGTACAGGACCATGTTTTCTGTACTGTCTGGGATCTGTTACATTCACTTACTTTCTGCTTACAGTCCAAAATCTGGCCAGTAGGCCTCAATGAGCCAACTCGTGCCTCAGAAGAACAGACCAACACAGGAAAGAAGCACTTGGAAGAGAACAAGTCTCCCTCCTGTGACTGACTCAGAACCTGGCAGAGCGGTCCGATACTGAACACTTTCTATTAGTTATTTTTAAAAAAATTTATTATTGAAACTTGTCATGCTACTAAGTGGAAATCAAACTTTGTTTAGAAACTGCTTCAGAGCTACTTTTTGAGGGATCTGGTTTAAAATAAAAGATATCCATACAATTTAATATCCAATTTAATTTTTTAAAAAACTTAATGAAAAACATAACAGAATCAAACATTTAAAATAAGTATACTCACTACCCACTCCAGTAATTCATTTAATCATACCAACTATACAATATGAAAAATAAATTCAAAAGTGTAATTATCTTAAAATACACTACTTCCACTTTTGTCAGTATTTTATATTTTGTATATATTCTATAGTGGAAGCAGAAATTCTCTCTAAAAACATATCTCCTTAAAATCTCGAGGTGCATAATAGAGCCACAGGCAATATGTGACATATAAAATTGCAGTGCAGGCCTTTCTAATTTGGCATTTCACCGGTACAATACAATGACCCAAGACTGTACAGTGCCTAGGCATTCCAGTAAGAATCATTACTTTCTTTCATGTAGAATGATTAATACATATTCTACAAAGGGCAGTGAGGTTGGTGATTCTAAAGAGTTATGTCCTGACACAATTTTTAAATTGTACAATAACACAAACAACTTTGTTAAGGCCATGTTTTATTTGCTGATTAATGGACAAAGGCAATGTAATTTATTTTCAAGTATTTTCTTGAAAGTCTGTGCTCATAAAAATCATGAAAAGTTGGAAAGACTGTTAAATCACTGAAACTTTAAATATATCTTACACAATCTTGTTTGTACAAAAATACAAGTTAAATATAAACATAAAGCAATCATGATAATTTTATGCAAATCTGTTTTATGTGATCTTCAGTTATATATAAAAGTTTCTCAGTTCTGTTATTTGTGAAAAGATCAATATCAGATTGAATTACTACCTATTGGCAAAGGGCCCTAAAAAGCTTACTTTAGCATTAGTAGTTTTTACATGGTTATACGTGTTTCCTAATTTGAGATCACCTAAATACTGGAAAAAAGAAAACAAACCAACAACAAAAAAAAAACCGGGTAGTGTGTCCATAAACCAACAAATAATTTGGCTGTAATGTATCATTAAACACAAAGAAACTTCACGCATCTGTACAATAAACAACATGTACTACACACTCACACACTCACACACACACACACACCTGTATGCGAACGGGCAGGTCCGTATGCACACACAGCCACACACGCCTGTCCTAAGACAGAGCTTGATGAGGAGCTGCTTCCAGTTCAATATTCAGCCGTGCATTTTTCCTTACTTCATCAAAGGAATAGCTTTTTGTCACCTTTCCATTCTTGAAGACAGTATGGAGAAGATCCTGAAGAAATTTAAAGTTAGTGAATGTATCAGAGACCATCAAACAAACAATTTTATTCATGCTTTGAAAGATTTATCTAAAAAGTAATTGAACAGAGAAGCTAATGGTGTTCAACTTTGTGAACTCATCTGATATACAAAGAACACTGGTGTGGTAGGCAAACCGCAAGATACCAAGGAAATGGCAACCCACTGAGAGTTCACTTTCATGACAAGGAATGAGATCATTTCTGACACAGATGATATGCATCAGTATTAACAACATCTTACTATGTATGATTCTGAAGTAAAATGACTATGCTATTGCATTCTTAAGCCAGTTTTCTTAAAAACAGAAAATGTAGCTAACCACTGTCTCTTTGTCTTGTCCCATGTCAGGAAGATGCCTGGTTGCCTAGGGGAATCATAATGTCACTGAAAACCAACAGCACAGCAGAGCCAGTCGGCCAGAGCTTCCGTTATCCTCCTGACCGACGGAAGCATTCCACACTGAAGGAACCTGTCAGTCAGACTGTTAAATGTGCCAGTCACAAAAAAAACAAAAACAGGTACTGATTTCTTGACTCACACTTGGTGACCGAGTTAGACTTTGTATATTCCAGAAGTCATTGATAAATGTAACCTCTGGCTCCATAAACCATAGCAATGACAGATGAAGAATCAGGACGACATTCCCTTTCCTTCTCCTAAACCCATTCCTGTCTTACAAAGGAGGATCTGCCTGTGTTTTTTTAAAAACAAAATCCAAAAACTCTAGAATTCATTTTCCATCATCTAGTTTGAAGGTACATGACATTAATATTTTTGTCCTGCGTTGCCCTCAAATGACATTGTTCTAGTTGTATAATTTTCTTCTATAAACTTAAATACCACCTATCACAGAATGTTGTTTTTTCTTTTGATAAAACAAAATGTGGAGGAGAGTATAAGCTTTTACTCCAGATGTTTCCATGTATCATCTACGTACTCTTATTTAAATAGGTTTTTAAAAAGCCACATTCAGGCTTTACTTCCACCCTCAGTCAATGACTTCATGGTTCACTGGGATAAACCAACTCAGGGGTCTAGCCGGTAACTGTGATGCTCAGTGGCATACAGCAAGGGACCTGCTTCTGCCAGTATAATGGAAACTTATATGTGTCTATTTTTTCCCTTAAATAACAAGTTATGATTTCATGAGTTGTGACTCAATCTTAAAAATACATATGCAATATGAATAATAAATTTTGCATAGTACAAAGAATCAAGATAGAAAGTAACAGCTAAGTAACAAAGTTTTGAGAGTATAAATATTTATGAGTAGGGCCCAGTGTGACGACTTAGTGGCTAAATCCTTGCCTTGCATGGATTGGGATCCCCTGTGGGTGCTGGTTAGTGTCCCGGGAAAGCAAGAGGACAGCCCAAAGCCTTCGGACGCTGCACCTGCATGAGACCTAGAAGAAGCTCTTGGCTTCAGAATAGCTCTGCTCCACTGTGGTCACCTGGAGAGTGAACCAGCAGATGGAAGATCTTCCTCTTGGTCTTTTCCTACTCTGTGAATCTGCCTTTCCAATTAAAATGAATGAATCTTAAAATATATATGTATATGTATATATATAATGAGTTGTTTCCCTCTAATATTGTTTCAGTCCAGTGGCTTAAAAACCACAAAGTTGATAAACTTGGAATTCATGAATATAACTGCACTCTGGCATGCTATGGGCCAGGAGAGCACATGCGCTACTTAAGCAACTGTAAGTCTTTTTCAGTTTGGTTGGCTTGAATCACAAGGCTTCACTACCAGTCACAGAATCTGAATCAAGGTACTGTTTTTATATTTTATAATATTTACATAACATTTTTATTTTTTTATCCTATAAAGTTGCTGAGAATGAAATAAGACAAAAAAAAAGAAACATCTGAATTGGATACTGATACATTTTTAAATGAAACAGGGGTAGGTGCTATTGTGCATCAGACTGAGCCACTGCCCTCATGCAATGCTGGATCCCACTTTGAGCACTGGTTCAAGCTGCCACTGCTCCCCTTCCCTAACGAGCCTGGGAGAGGCGCAGAAGATGGCCCCAGCACCTTAGACCCCTGCAGCTCCTGGCTTTAGTGTGGGAATAAACTAAGAGATGCAAGATATGTTTTTGCCTTTTAAATAAATAAAAAACCTCTCCAACTTAGCAACTTCTTGAGTAGCCCAAGACAGTGATTTTCCATCTTTTAAATATATATTTTTTAAGATTTTATTTTTATTGGAAAGTCTTTTTTAAAAAAATATTTTTTGAAGTTCCTTAATTATTTGAAGAGTTGCAGAGTTAGAGACTTCCATCTGCTGGTTTACATCCCAAATGTTAGTGGCTGGGGCCAACTTAGGCCAAAGCCAGGAGCCTGGAACTCCACTCATGTCTCATGTGGGTGTGGAGCAAAGACCTGGGCCATTTTCCACTGCTTTCCTGGGAGCTGAACTGAAAGTGCATCAGCTGGGACTCAAATTGGTGTCTGTCTGGGATGTTGGTCCTACAGGCGGGGCTTAATCTGCTGTGCCAAAATGCAGCTCCAGTGACTATATACTTTTAAGTACTTTGTCATCCACAAAAAGAAAAAAAAAAGTTCTGAAAACAATTTCAAAGCAAAGTAAAATACAACATAAAAACCTTTTTAGTAACCGTGAACACCAACTTTTTAATGTTTGGTGCTTAATAAAAAAGAATGAGCAGATACACACCTGACCATATTCCTCAAGGTCGCCCTTTCCTTCCTCCAGTGTAACAAAATTGCCGGCTGGCGTCCTATGCAAAGATAATCGGCCCTTTTTGGACCTTTTGTTGGGATCAGCAACCGGGTCCTTGAAGACATTAATCTGAAATCCAAAGGAAGATAAGAGAAATAGGCTAATTAAATGTCTACCAAATGCTCACTTTAGCAATGCATAGAATTTACGTTCTGAGGCCCTTTGTAGTAAAACTAAAGCAACCCATTTCTGGCTTTTTGAAAAAGAACTGAAAGTATAAATGTGACTTAGCTGGTTTTAAAATATCTAAAGTATCCTTTGCTTCCTATTCAAAACTATCTGATATTCCAGTGTAATCCTTTTAAATATAAAAATGGTCTTCACTCAGACATTAAGGGTAGTACATAAAAAACATTGTGTCTACTAAATCTCTGGAGAGGCAATCAGGGTCTAGGCAAAGGTTGTCCTGGTATTCAGCTGTCCTTCATTACTCTTACCTTCCTGTCAGCCGAGTGTTCCAGGTTCAGAACGAAAGAAGGCAGATCTACCAGCAACAGCCAGCGATGCCAGTGGCAGGAGGCATTCTCCTAAGCCAAGTGGTGCAAGATGGGGGCCAAGTCTGGCTTCTTGGCTTCACCTGCCCTGTCTGCTCCATAGAACCCCATCCAAGAGGCTACGCAAGAGCTGGAATTGAAGTTCAGCTGCATGTTTCGTGGCTTCAGGAACAGAACCCCGACACTGTACTCCACACTGTTTACCCTACCTCCCTGAAACAAGGTTGACAGGAACCATGTGTAACTACGTACTTGCTCATCTATAACGTGTGACAGCCAGGCTGACTGACATGCTCACTCAAATCTGGTTTACTGTTTGATCCAAAAATATGTCCAGAACCAACGGGAAACTCCATTACCTATCTTAAATCATCTCTCACTTCACTGTTCCTCATTTTCCCATCTATCTAGTCATGTTATTACTACCTAACGTGTTTCCTTCCTTATGTTTGAGTTGAGGTTAACAGTACTTGACAAGGTGTTAGCAGTCCTGAATCTGAATTGCATTACACTCTGACTATGGCACCCACTATCTGTCCTTCATTTAGACACACAGAGGACATACCCCAAGACCGTTGGTTACAACGTAACTACACTTAAAGGAACAATTCAGGAGATCTCTTGTTAGCTTCTGTAGCAAAGCTCCCCCAGAACCAAAGGCAATATTTTCAATACTCCATTTTTTTTGTTTCATGCCTTCCACAATCTGGAAGATAAATAAAGAGTTTCAGTGATCTGGAAGAAGATGAAGATACTTTTCAAAGGGCAGTATAAAGGAATGAAGCATCCTACATTCATTTTTCAACAGTTAAGAAAAAAACACGGAGACAAAGCTAACAGAGCATATTCTTTCAAAGACCCAGCAGTTCCCAACAGAGCAATGCTGACGTGTGTTAAAGCAGGGGATTCCAGTTCCTGAGTTTGTGCTGTTTCTGTCATGGGTATTTGAGGAGTTGGGAGTAAGAAAAAACTGGCATCAAATGTGTACTAGTGTCAGCTGCCCTCATTACCAGACTATCCAGATGCCAATAGCAATGAGCCTCCTGCATCACCCCGGTTACTAACTCCAGGGATGTCTGTCATCACTGCCTGTCACACAGAGCACACATAATCAACGGTCAAGGGTGGTGGTGGCAACAGTATAACGTACTCTATCCCGGAGATATAGACGGGCTGGAGCTCCAGGGACATAAGCACAATTATGGGCAGGCGCTCTGGAGGTTAAGATTTACCATGGGTTGTTTCTGGAGCAGGATCACCTAGAGGCCAGCTACAGGCCTCTGTGGACAGAATTCTGGCAGCTAGACAGTTCTGACAAGGAACATATATTTTCTTTTTAAATCCCAACCAATTCTGCTAGATGGAAAACACACACACTTTAAAGTATACTTCAAGTCATCCACTAATCCAGTCTCAAGTCTTTATTGTTGCACTTGAACCCAAGAGGTACGGAAAGCCTCTAAATTCAGATTTACTTGCCCTGGTTATAGCTACGAGCAAAGTGGACTTTAACATGGAAAACATGCAGAGTACAACAGAGAAAAACAAACAGGTGATGATGGCTGACGCAGTCTATGACAGAGGACACAGTCTGACACTGTCCCGGTTTTAGATATGCTGCCTATCACTGAATTACAGGCCAAGTTTCTTCACTACAAGTTTTAAAACTTAGGCATGTAGATTTTTCTATTAGCAGGAAATCATGGAACTGGAGAAACATGCCTTTGTAAAAAGATTTATACTAACAAGTCGGCAGGAGATCTGACTAGGTATGAATTAGCAGACACCTAAGATGGCTGCATGGCGGAAAGACGTGCTGAATCTGGCCAGGGGGAGGTGACAGAAGTGGAGGAAGCACATTCTCAGGGGAGAGTCGGACACAAGTTTACAGTTGGACATTGTCCAGAAAGAAGAGACGCTGTGGAGCTGTGTGGACTCTCCTGGAGATTCGCACAGCTGGGGGCTGCAGACGCATCCCCTTGAAGCAAGGTAGTCACTGGTAATAGCGCAGCTCACAGAGGGCAGCTGGGAGTGCTGAGCAGGGCAAGGCGTCCGCCTCATCCCATCAGGAGAAACACCGCTCTCTTCCCTTCCCCTCACAATGCGCCAGGTGACTAGCGGGGAGAAGTGCTGCTGTGGCTTGCACGTGCATGTGACCAGAGATTTTACTGGAGGGATATTTCCTGCCATTCCCACTTTGAGTCTGGCCTGGAGCATAGGAAGGGGTCAGGGAACCCCTGCCCTTACTGTCATGGGCACTTGGACTCAAACTGCCTTGGCAGAGCAGTAACAGGCAGCCGGCTCTTGGCACACCCTGGCTTTCTAGTGGACTGGACGAGGTAGGCTTGTGGGGTAGAGTGGATCCTCTGTTCCCTGTGACTGTGGGAATCTGACGCAAGGCGTGGGTCACCGCAGAGGTGTCACAGGTCCTGCGAATGGTTCACAGGACTCCAGGCAGGGTGTACAGCCACTGAGGGCTCACCCTAGACAATGACCACCTTGGCAGAGAAGAGGTAACGCTGTGAGCACACCCCGATCACAACAGGGATCTACCTTGCCCAGCTGGGGTGTCACCCTGGACCAAATCAGAAACATTTCCAGAAATGTGGAGGAAAAAAATACAGGAAAAGAAGTGTAGGACAACTCAAGGGGAAGAAAGGAAAAATACTGCTGGCCTATGTATAGGATAATAAATGGGATGGGTGTTCGGTGCATCAGCTTAGCTGCTGTAGCGTACATTCACAGCTCACACTACAGGGCCTGGGTTCAAATCCCACCTCCAGCTGCCTGCTGGTTTTTACCCTGGGTTCCTGCCACCCATGTGGAAACCTGGATTTCAGTTCTGGGTTCCTGACTTCAGTCTGGTGCATATTTGACTTGTAGGCTCACAGTCCAGTAGACAGGGAAGTTGTTGCAAAGCAAGCAGATTTTTGATTTTGTCAAAATTAGGACATGTACTAATTTAGTGCATGTACAAATCAAAACTGACAATTATATTCCTTTCTTGCTCTTTGAGAAATTATAAAATAGTCTATATCACCTCTTTGAAATTAAGCATCAAGTTCCATTACTGTTATTCTTAACCTCTGCCTCTTAGTTTTACTAAAAGTAAGAATATAACTGATTTCTTATATGCCTGTGAATACTGTCTAAATTTCACATTACTAGATAATGTGAAGCTCCCTTTTGTTTAAACTCAGACCAACAGGAGCAGATTAAGCCTTTTTGGCTAATGCTACATTTGATGGTCCTTGACATTGTCTGTCATAGTGGTAGTCTCATCTCACCACCCAGGATAGCCAATGAAATAAGAAGAGTAATCTAATTTTGGTTTGGTGGACAATTTACTTTTTAAGATTTACTTTATTTGAAAGGCAGAGCTGTACACACACAGAAGGATCTTTTATCAGCTCATTTATTTCCCAATGCTGCAATGACTGGGCAGGGCCAGGCTGAAGCCAGGAACCTCATCCAGGTCTCCCATGTGGATGCAGGGGCCCAAGGACTTAGACCATCTCTTTTTTTTTTTTCTTTTTTAAATGATACAATTGCATAGGCTCTGGGATTTCCCCTTACCTCTCCTCATGTTCCTTCTCTGCCTCTGATTTCCCCTAGTACTACAACAGTATAGCCCTTCCAGAGCAGTCATAAATCTGTCATTCTGCTATTTAGATATATCCTGACGTTGTGGGTACGGACAATGGCAGAGAGCTGAACTGCCTTTTGCTACATTCCTATGGGCATCAGCAAGGAGCTGGATTGGAAGTGGAGCAGCCAGGACTCAAACTAGTGTCCATATGAGATGCCAGTGTCACAGGCAGTGGCTTAACCCATTACATCACAATACAAATTCCTTGGCTGGCTATTCTCTTTTAAAGCTACTGTTCTTTTTATTCTAATACACAGAAATCATTATAAACACAAATGAAAAAAAGTCATATTTAAATTAATGTTATTAAATTAATAAAAAGCAGCATCTGCTTTATTTAAACTTTCATGAAAAGACACCTACCTCTTGTAAGGTGTTAATATCTACTCCATCTCCTTGAATAACTCTAAGATAGGGTGGCAACAACTTGTACCCCTTTGAATTCTCAACAACAGGAAATTTTTTACCTAAAATATCCAAAACCTAAATGGAAAAGCAAACATCCAAGTAACTCACACTGAAAACAAGTGAAACAGCTAATAAATTCACCTTATCAGACAATCCTGAGAGTATAACTATTTTAACAATTTTATAGCACTATGTATGGGTCTTTTAAAACTTGGCCCCAATCTCTCTTTTAATGTCAGAAACAGACACTACGTGGTATCAAGTCAACTGAGACACCTTAAAAGGGGTTTAAGATAAGTTTTGCCTCCTCATCTTTAAAATTGAAGAAAAAAATTCTCTTAGGACATTTAAGCAATAAACAGACTTTAGGAAGTGTTATGAGGCATCATTTTACAGAACTCCTGACTTTGATTTGGACTTACTCTGCTTGTGTCTAATAAACCTGGTTCAACATGTGTGATAGAATTCAAAATATACATCTATCTGAATCACAAAGTGCAGAGAAATTGTACCAGGTAGAGAATGGGACATGAAACACACATAAGCCAGTTTCTCTTTTTTCCCTCTTCATTGAAGTCAGACTGCCGTCTGTGCAGTGTCCTCACTCATCGGCTCCCGGAGTGGCTGAACACTTGCACATAGATTTCAACTGTTTTAGGAAGTTTGGCCAGATGCTGAAGACCTACAACACTCCCCTCTGCCCCAATAAACACTTTCTTCCTCCAGATAAGCTGACTAGAGACTCTTAATTGGAAAATCACATACAGATGACTCAGTTTACAGTAGTAAACACATGAAATGTACTAAGTTTCCATAAACCAAACATTTCAGGTTAAGACAAGACCATCAGAATCAGATAGGCCTGTCATCAGAGTAAGAAGAGGCTCCTGGATTCTGGGCACCCCTTTTTAAAGAGTATATTTTATTACCTGCACACTAGCTGACAACGTGACAAAGTGGGAGGGCTGCACCTCAGGACTTAGACTGGATATCCAACTCCTTATTTAACATGTGACCTTGAGCAAGTTACTTTAACCTTTGGAACCCTCTTGTTTTCTTCAATAGCACAGATAGTAACATTCATCACACGTCCTTAAACTGTTTTTGCTGGTACAATGGGCTTTTGGTAAAGATTAAATATCGTATACAGCATTTTATAAGTGGCAGGCATCAAAGAGTCCTGCCCTGGTGAGTGCTTTGCAGAGACGGGAAAGCACATCCTGAATGCTGGGAAACTGCAGCAGGACCACATTTCTCAAGAACGATTACTTGCAAAGTATTTTTAAATTATTCTAATTCTACCTCATCCTCGCACATATTTCTTCTGCACTAACTTCAAAGCTATAGTAGTGGCTTGTGACCAAAGCAAAGGATTAAAACTGTAGCACTGTTCATTAGTTTTGAAGTAAAATAGAAAACCCAGTGCATCTGCCATTTCAGTACTATGTAGCTCACAACTCTTGGCATCTCTGCCCTGCTATTAATGTGTGACCTTGGGCAGATTTACTCTCTCTAGGCTGTGATTTTTAAATAAGGAAACCAGTTCAGACAGTTCAAAAATGGTGTAACATAAATGAAATTGGCACAAATGATGTATGGGCACTGATATAATCAAGTAACACATTAAAATTTACCTTTAATACAGTGTCAAGAGGATTTCCAGAATCAGGTCTGATGATGAGTGGTGCCTCTGTACTTCTGGATACTATTAAATGTCTTAAATCTTCTCCCCATATTTTTTCACAGGCATTATAAATGTCATAGCTATCACTGACCACAGACACGGGCACTGAGGAGAACTGTGTTACTATATGTTCAAATGCATCTTTTTCATGGTCTTTCCCCCAAGCTGTTATGGTACTGGAAAACAAAATGAAAATACACATTGACTTGGCAAATGTATTAGGCCTGAACCACTCTTCATTACAGCTTACATCATTTTCACAGAGGTGAGGGGCTGCATGAATGCTCATTACACCACAATGGAACTTCAGTGCCAGACCACACCGTGGCTCATTTAACACTAGCACTGTCACCTTATTCCTCTTTGGTGATCATGAACTTACTTAGCATTTAAATTACACTCAGCCAGTAATCAACTCCTCTGTCTCTTGTTGTTGTGGGTTTTTGGGGGTATTCCTTGAATCAGTGAGCTAAAGCACACTGCCTGAACGCCCTCTGTGCGCCAAGCTGTCAGAAAGGGTTAAAAATGCTTGCTTTATTTGGATAGGCAATGCAAGGACTTCTTGTGAATTTCTGAAACATATACCAATAGCAGCAGGGAACTTTGGTCTTTTGAAAAATAAAAAACCTTTATACTTCAGAGGCAATTACTTAGGCAATTATCATGCCATTTAATTTTATATGTATGTATATATATGTATGTATACAAGTATACAGCCATTATACATACATGTGTATATGTATGTAATACATATATGTATTCATGTATGTATAATGGCCATACATATATACACACACACTGAAACGGTATGAATAACTGCCTACACACAGCGTCAATTAACTGTCTACCTGTTAATATTTTCAAATGGCAATTATTTATTTCACCTATAGATTATCTAATACTAATGAATATATCAAGAAAAAACAGTATTAGTGTTTAGAGAAAAATAAAACAGTATGAAAGCTTCTATCATGTAAAAAAGGCTACAATCTCAAAAAGGGTTCTTTTTACTGAGAGATTGATACCTTATAGGTAGCTTTGTTTGGCTGACGGAAGAACTGGCGAACAGGGTGGTAAGCGTATTGCCCAATGCCCACTGTGGCAGCTCTAAGGTTTGCCAACATTCAGGCCAATGCTCTTTTCACTATTCCCTGCCATTGTGTCAAAGATGCTACTGTGTTACCATCTCAAGCCTCCTGGATAAAGAAGTCAGAATTATACCACAAGGCCATAAAATAAAGTGCATTTTCACCATATGCCCACCAGTGTCTTACTTTAACTGCTAAGTCCTATAGATATGTTTACTTTCAAGATCTCTGGTACTGAGGATGTCACCATTGTGAAAATCACCAGTGGATGGTATAGTATGTGCACACCACATTAAAAAGTTTCAGAAATGTATGCATTCCTAAGTCCAAATAAAGATACTTTGACCCTAAAACGCTTGTTAGTTCATCACAAACTCTTTCTCAGTTCACCAGTCTTGAACTCGTGTGTGAAAGCTTTCAACAGGCCCTGCCAACACAGCAGTGCTCCGAAGCACTAGCTGTTTCCATTCAGCACCGAGTCTTGACTCCAACCACTAAGCTGTGACAACTTCCACCTCTCATGTCTTTGCTTGTCTCTACTTGCTTCCAATCATCCTGCAACCAGTACCTCAAGGCAGCTTCCCATAATCAACTTCTTGAGGCTTTTTTTCAGCTCACAGCCTACCCTCTTATCAAAACAACACACGAGGTTCTGATCATATCACCTCTTTGCTCTACGTCTGTTCCCATTTAGAAGTGTCTGCTACACAGCAGTTAAACCACTTCTTGAGACACCCACATCCCATACTGGAATGTCTACATGGCAGCTCTGCCTCTGTTTCCAGTTTCCTGCTAATGTTTACTTAGGGAGGTAAGTGGTCATTTGGGGAATGAACTAGCAAATGGAAACTGTGTGCCTGCTTTAAAAAAAAGCCTAATCAAGAGCAGCCTAGCATGACATGCACATAATTAATGCTCAATGTCAAAATGAACTGTGAGGGCCCTTAGTAATCCTATCTTCTCAGGCTTCCCTATGCTCCTTACAAAATCTCTGCTTTAGCACTATTCCCTAAACATCGACTTTCTCCAACACGGCGCTTGATGCACAGTCACCACGTGGCAGTAAGGGCACATCAGGAAGCAGACTCTGAACACTCATCGTTCCTAACAGGGCTTTTCTCATCTCTCACACGAAGTACTGGGTCATGTCATGGCCAAGAGTGAGGAAGGACAGAAGAGATCTGTACAACAGTGAGCACTTCCAGATCTGACTGACGAAGAAAACGTAATTGCATGTGGCAATACAGCCATCCAAAGAAAACCCACTACTAAAATATCTAGGTGGCAATGTAAGTAAGTGTCATCAATATAAGCACAGGAGATTAGTCTTACAAACAAATGTTTAGACAATAGGAAGAGTATCATCATCATTATTTACCTGTGTTCTGCTGCTGGAAGAGAATAGCCTGGAATAGGATCTTTTGTCCCATAGTATTTTTTAATCAGAGCAATTCCTGCTACTGTATCGGTTCCTTTGAAGTTAACCAAATGAGCAGATGCTCCTATGCCAGCAGTCTAGAAGATTAACCAGAAACCAAATTCCAAAAAGGAAAAAGAAAAGTCCATATTGAAGGCAGACAATATAGCACCCCAAGAAATTACTGTCTTTAGCTAGTCTTAGAAAGATATTTAACTATTATCAGATAATAGCTCCTTTTGACAAGATTACGTTTTTCCTGAATATTTAAGAATTTTTCAGACCTACTCCACAGTGCCCCACCCCCACCTCCCATCACTCTCTCTTCCCTTACCCTGCCTTGTGCTTCTCTGTGGCATTATTTGACATCTGATACTTTTATTATGTCTGTCTCTGTCTGTCCATCCATCCGCCATTCATCCATCCATCTAATATATAAAGGACAGGGACTTTTGTTGAAGGCTATATCCCATGTACCTTGAACAGAGGCTGACACATAGTAGATACTTAATATGTATCTATTGACTGAGTCCTTGGAATTTCAAAATGTGACATGCTAACAACCAAGCCCAATCCCAATAATACCCCCCAAGTTCACACTGATGCACTAACAGTCAACCCAAGTTCACACTGGTACACTAACGGTCAACCCGAGTTTACACTGGTGCACTAACAGTCAACCTACACTTTACTAAGTGAAGTACATTTCCACTCCTTACCTCTTGGGAAGAGACTCCTCTATAGCCAAAATCATGTAACTTGTACTCCAGACCATCTAAGCTGCCAGAAGTTTCCAGCAAATATTTGGCCAATATTTTCTTCTGCTCTCTAGAGTTAGTAGCCACTGTGATTGGATACCAGGACTGAACAAGAATAGTCTGTAAGCAACAAAATTAATCATTAAATATCAATACACAAAACACTTTGTTCTTTCTGGGAAAATCCTAGCTTTCTCTCCGAGGGATGTCCTGGGCTGCATGCTATTAGAAATAACAAGGAGACACTTCCAGTGTACAATGGCTTGCCTACTCTGCAGTATTCCAGACACACTACATAGCTCAGCCTACCAACCAATCAGCAATCAAGAGGCAAACCAGCTCATTAATAGTAGTTTCTACTCTACCCAGAGCTCCAGACAAGCAAGTAATACTTGGAAAGCTGTGGTAAAGGGCCAAATTTTAAAAGGATTTTCAACTGGTCATGGACTGACAGTCTTATGAAATACACTCACTCTGGGTGGTGGGGCAGTACCCCTCTGACACTTGATTTCTGAGCTTGAGGTGGACAGATCAAGCAGGTTACAGAGCAGCACTGACTGCAGACTACAGCTGGACAGTCCCTGCTCTGAAGAAGCTACTCACTTGGCTAGATGACTCTGATTCAATGTGATAGGCCCATGAGTGAGAGACACTTAAGCAACACAGAACCCTTTCCATTCGGTTGATGTCCTTAGCAGATAACAAAGATCCCCATGAAGCAGCTCTATGACATGCTTCTGCATGGGCCGTGCAACTGCAGTTACCGTCTCTGTAACTCGTGACTCTTAACAGTGCCTAAATGAGCAAAAGGGAAGAACCACTATATTCCTACTTTCTGACAACAACCATTCCTCAGTTCCACTCTTCCTTGCCTTTGAGAAATTCCCAAAGCAGTCTAACGCTTGCAGCAACCACGTGAATATCAGGGCTTGGGAATGCACTTCTCCACTGGCCATACTGTGCACCAGGTGGCGTATCAGAAGCAGCTTCAAGTTCGCTTTACAAAGTGCTGCTAAAATGACTACAATGAATTTTATCCAAAATATTTTTAATTAATTATTATTCCATGATACAATTCCATATGCTCTGGGATTTGCCCACTGATTTTCCCCATATCATTACATCATATAGTCCTTTACAATCATTTTCTTAATGTTCTAAAATAAGCTTCTAAATCCCAACTAAGTGATCAACAAATAAAATGAGCAAAAATGACAATTTAGCCTTGGACTTGCCAATTGCTGTAGACTGAACAGCAGGAGCTGGGACCCTCCTCAGATGCAGGCGAGGGCCAGCACAGAACCATCCGGTCAGCCACAGGATAATAGGAAATAAGATTTGTTTTGAGCTACTAGTCTAAGGGCAGGTTGTTACACAACAGAAAACTGATGCAATTATTATCTAAACTCTGATCACCTCTAACCTCCGACGAGTCTCCTGCTGCCATTCCTCTGCCTGCCACCCTGGACCCTGCTAACCCCTACTTGGAACTTCCGTTACTCATTCTTCACATGGCCACTGATCATCACTCACTCAGTTTCTTCACTCAGGTTGTATCTTTCCTGAAAAACCTTCAATGATCATCTGCTGTCCAAAGGCGAAAATGCCAACTGATACAGAAATCAGGGCTGTCTGGATCTTACCCTGTTGGCCAACTAAATGCGTATCTCCTACTGCAGTTTCTCTTGTGCGATAAAAGTCTATGCCACTCCCTGTGCCCCTCCCCCTTATCAAAACCTTACTTTCCATTTAATGATTCTCTTAGAGTTACCTGTTGCTCTGCTCTCATCCAAGTCTTTACTCTTAACAACATCAGTAGTTAGTTACGAATGAACAGCCACCTCTCCCTTGGAGGCCCTTAAATGAGACACATCATACTCTAATCTTGTACCAATGGTTGAACTTTTTTGTTAATTTAGCAAAATGTACTCACTGCAAACATATATTCAGATGCATTCCTGGACCTCTTCCTTTTCAAAGTGTTTTGGTCTTTCAGGTGAATCTCAAATATAATGTTTTACAGCATACACATCTTACAATAACAATAAATTAGCCTAACCAGAAACTGATTAGAGAGTCAGTTGTGACAACAAATTAAAGAGCCCACAGCTGTCCAAAGGCCATGTAGGATGTGGCATCGTTGACGGCAGTGCCTGGGTGCAACTTCCAGCTCTGTTCCTGATCCCAGCTCCCTGCGAATGTGCCCCCTGGGAGGCAGCAAGCCATGGGTCAAGTACTTGAGTCCCAGCCATGCCCACAGGACACCATGATTAAAGGCCGGCTCCCAGCTCCAGTCTAGTCTACTCCTGGGTGTTGGTGGCACTGTGGGAGTGAATCAGCACATGGAAGATCTTTTTCTTTCTTCAGGTAACATGAAAATAGTAAATTTTAAACAGTTTAAAAACTTGAAACTTGGTTGAATCTTGGGTATTTTACTCATATATAAGATCTAAATTAAACTACTGAATAGTTAAGTAAATTATAAGAACTGTAACTATGTGAAAACATACTCATAGTTAGATATGCATGCAAGGAAAACACGTTAAAAAAAAAGCATCAGCCTGTGACACCGACTTGGAAAGTTAACAAAATGAATACTGATCTTGTTCGTACTTACAATAAGAAGCTGAAAATATTAGGTGGCACTGCCAGAGCCAAGACTAACTCGAGAATGGATAGAGGAGTCATTCAGGTTGGAACACAGTCCCTCCAAGTCTATATCTTCAAGTAATGTTAACAATAATAATAGTAATAATCATCCTACCTCAATCCAGTTGGTGAGCCAGTAGCATTCCGGGTCTGTGTTTTCCACTGTGAAGAGGACATTTCCGCGGGGAACCACCGAGCCCTCAGGAACTGCCTTCACTTCTATTGGAAGGTGCCCATCGTATTTCTGATGAGAGGACAAGGAAAGTAATCACTCCATACATGGTCCTCGACTGCCTGTCCCAGTAACTGCTCACATTTCATAGAGGTCAAAGTCGCCATCAGGGAACATTATTGCATTGCTAATCATCTGGTTAAAATAACTTTATTCCCTGCTAAGTTAGGTAAAAATAAGTGTAGGCACTGACATTAATTTTTACATTTAATGTTGTCAAGTGCCTTTATGAAGAAGGGCCAACATCATGGCGGAGAGGCCAGTGCCACATGGGCACCAGCTCTTGCTCAGCTGCTCCAGCTCTGGTCTAGCTCCCTGCTGAGCTGGGGAATACAACAGAAAACGGCACAGGCATTTGGGCTCCTGCCACCCACACTGGAGACCCAGATGAAGCTTTCACCAGCCCTGGCAGTGGTGGTCACCCTGGGGAGCGAGCCAGATCTCTCTTTTGCTTTTTCAACCAAATCAACCAATCTTAAAAAAAAAAAAGAAAAAAGAAAAAAGAAAAGAAAAGAAGCAAAAGAAACCAAAGACTGGGGTGGGAGAAAGCACTGTGGCAAGGCGGGTAAAGCCACTGCATGCAGTGTTGGCATCCCATATGGGCACCAGTTCAAGTCCCAGCTGCCATTTACAATCCAGCTTCCTGCTACTGTGCCTGGGAAAACAGAGGAAGATGAATCAAGTACTTGGGCCCCCGAACTTACACGGGCAACCTGGGATAAGCTCCAGGCTCCTGGCTTCAGACCAGCCCAGTTCTGGCCATTTTGGAGGTAAACTGACAGATAAGAGTGCATACTGTGTGTGACTTTGACTTTCAAATAAATAAAATCGTTTTAAAAATTGAAATTGCAAAGTTATCTAAGCTAAAATGCTTTCCCTCTGCTCTTCAGATAAACAATGAGTTTGTTCCAACAAATTCTAGATGTATTCCAATACCACAATAGATCACAAGCAGAAAAGAGTTGAATGATAATCTATTCTATTAAAAGTCCTTTGTAGGAAATTCTGAACTGAAAAACACTTCTGGGTCTGGCATGGTGGTACAGCGGGTTAAGTGGCCGTCTGCAGCACTGGTATCCCGTATGAGCACCAGTTCAAGTTCCTGCTGTTCCACTTCTGAACCAGCTCCCTGCTAATTCTGCTGGGAGGGTGGTGAAGAAAGGCCTGAATACTCCGGCCTCAGCTACTCATGTGGGAGACCAGGATGAAGCTGCTGGCTCCCGCCTCTGGCCTGGCCCAGTCCTGGCCGCTGTAGCTGTGGGGAGCGAGTTGGCATATGGATGATCTCATACTCCCTCCCCGCAACCGTGTCTTTCAAACAAACAAACCAGACAGACAGACAGACAACTCAGTCTTGAAAAAGCAATACAAAACAGATCAAAGCTTAAGAGTATTTTGTTTTTACCTCCAAAATGTAGTTCCACCCCTTTTCATTAAAGACATCATCCTGGAAGTGTTCTCTGTAGACCTCTTTGGCTTCCTGGATTTTCTCTTTGGTCACTACTTTGCCTAAAAGGACATACACCTCCAGTTTACGATTTCTAAAGATATTCTGCATTGCTGAATTGTCACAGAATTAACATTTTTAGCCACATTATATTTCATCCATTCTATGGTTTAAGAAACTGAAAGGTTAAATGACTTACATAGAGCCAGTAACAGTCAGAAAGGAATTCGTATTTTCAACAACTCACTCTTAGCATAAATGTTAATTTGTTACAAAAGCAGATGTACAAAAAGCTATTTGCATAGTAATTCAAAATCCACAATAAGTTAACTTATCCCTATTAAGTTAGTCACGTTTCACATTTGAGATGATTCAAAAGTGTCCTACACTTTCCAGGTGAGCCGTCTCACTTTAATCATAAAGCAATGTCTTCAGTGAGCCATATTTCCACAATTACCACATTTCTGCCCCCAGATGCACTTTCAGTTGGCTTTTACTGAGGACAACAATGGTTTAGTACCTACTTACAGGACACTGAGTGTTAAATGAGTAACGACAGCGGAGCTACTTGAGCTAATGCTGGCTGAGAAGAGGCAACACATTTTAGTTATCACTCATAACTGCTATTTTACAAAGCTTTCAAACTCCAGAAGTGAATTAAAGTGTGCCATCAGCCTTTGGTAACTTTATACCAATAATAAACCCATTTAAAGGATCCTGGGTATGCTACAATAAGTGCTTTTTGCACCTAACTTAAGTTCTATCATTTCATGGCATATCTGAACTTTTTATCTTAAAGTAGCCAAGAATGTGAAAAGAGTCACCACTAACATAAAATTCAACAGGTCTTTATTCAATCCCGCAGTGTTTAGTTGCAAAAGCTTGGAGGTTCAGAAAAACTTTTTAATGTTTAGAACACCAAGCAACACACTGAATTATGCCTTTAAATTAGCAGATTAGGAAGAATCATTACAGCAGTGAAATAAATGTCAACAACAGAATATTCGAAAGCTACTTCAAATAACAGAACAATACAACAAGGGAGGGAATGAGAAGTCACATAAAAGCAGTGTTGCAAATGTACTAGGAAAAGTTAATACCTTTTAAGTACTTATTAAGAATGTACTGCAACCCATAAAATACTGTCTCCTCGTATTTCACCTTCCTTACTTTGGAGTTTTCTGTTTTCTTTTCACGGCATTCAAAGTAGGAATAAACTTTGCTTGTATTTGGTGGATACTGTTTATAGTGCGTGACCTAAATAAAGAAAAATACCTCGATTACTAGATGCCAGAAAAGTTGAACATACAGACATCACAATAGGAACCGCTTGACATTACTTTGAAATTAGAGAAGCCAAACTTCTCACCTGTTATTGATCAGCTTTTCTTCCCTGGCTTCCATAAAACAGTAATTCTCTTACTTACTAAGGTATTTTTATGGTTTATTTAAAACCACAAGAGTGTTGACTTTTAGAACCAAAGAAGGACCATACGTATCAGCCCCTCAGCTGGACAAGACAGCAGTGCTAACAGCTCTAAGCCGAGAGATGCATCAGCCGCCTGAGGGCACCCACACATAAAGAAGCAACAGCACAACCTGGTACACCCGATTACCCTTGATCCTAGAAAAGGCTTTGGATTTCTGACTTTTAAAAAAATGTTTACAGTTTGGAATACCTGCAGACACTTACTGAAATATATTTCATATAGGACGCACATATAAACCAAACTCTTTTGTTTCATTTACACCCTGACATGCACAGTCTGAAGGTAATTTCCTAGGACATTTTTGGTGTACCTGATTCTGACTAAGACATGTTGCATGTAGTCAAGAATCTTCCATGGGTGGCATCATGTCAGTGCTCCAAATGTTTATGATTTGGGGGTGTGTAATTTGGATTTTCAGATTTGCAGATGCCTAGCCTGTACTATTTAAATGTGGATGTTCATTAAGTTAACTGTCAATGACTTCTCACGATGGCTTCTTCCTTTACACTAAGGGGTACAGAAAGTGATCCCTTCTCACTTCCGTATTGACAACATTACAAAAGCCCAGATAGAAGCAGCAGCAAAAACAAAAACCGACAAAAACATGTTTTGCAATCTTTCACTTTCCTAATTAAAACATAAATTCCCACATATAACATCAACTCCTTACAACTAAAGGAACGTTTTCTGTGGAACTGGCTACATTAGACACTGTGAAAACTGATCTACATCAAACTAGGAAGCTTCTGTACAGCAAAGGAAAGAAGCAACAGAATGGGAAAAAAATCTTTGCACACTACACAACTGATAGGGTGCTAACATCCAGGATTTACTAAGAGCTTCAGAAACTCAGTGACAGCAAAACAAACAAGCCTGGGAAGAAATGGTCAATGGAGATGAGAAGACATTTTTCGGAAACAACAAATTCAAATGGCTAAGACATAGGAAAATTCGTAGGCTCCCTAGCTATTAGGGAAATACAAATAAAAACCACAATGAGCTTCTACCTAACTGTGAGATTAATCTACATCTGGAGATCTACTAACACCCGTGGGCATGGATGTGGGCAGAAACGTGCCCTACCCTCCTTCACTGGTGGTGGGTGTAGCCTGGTACAGCCACTACAGAAACCTGCATGGAGAGTGCTAAGACAACTGAAAATTGATCCTCCATATGACCCAGCTAACCCATTTCTGGACATATATATCCAAAGGAAATGAGATCAATATATGAAACAGTGACCTGTAATCCTGTATTTATAGCTGCACAGTCTATAATAGCAAAGATATGGAAATAATCCAGATGTGTGTGTCAATAGAGAGGCAGATAAAAAAAATTGTGGTACATCTAATCCATGGAATATTACTCGGCCATTAAAAAAGTGGAATCCCCGGCAGGTAAGCACAAGAAACATGATAGGAAACACCCCCAGAACAGGCCATGGAAAGTTACCCACTGGCATACAATTGGCAGGGGTTGGGGGAAGACCAGGCTGAATCTGTCCACGTCATCCATAGGCAAATCCAAGCACCAGTGTGGGTCAAGCCAGGTTCGGTCGCAACAAAGACTAGTGCACAATACGGAATGCCAAGGTGAGGTTGCCTGTACCGGAAGGGACCGCAGCGCCCAACCAGCAAGCGTGAGAACAAGGAAGAAAGGGGGCAGAGCTGGCAGGGGAATAAGGGAGGGTTCCTTTGCTGGACAGCTGCTCCCGCAAGAGCATAGGCTGGGATGGGGGCAGACCAGACTAGGCAGGGCTACCACACCTGTGCGCCTCATGTGGACTAGATCAGGGAAAAGCCAGGCTGGGCAGATTATTCCTACCGGTGCAAACAAAATTAGAGTGGGTGAGGGTTGTTTGGGCTTAGCCACAGCATCAGCTGGAAGAAGCTGGCACTGGGGGCTAGTTCTGTGAAGTCAAACCACAGAACTATCTGGAGAGTGCATAATCTGAGAGTGGGAGAGGCCTGGGAAGGAAATAGTGGGCTCATCCCTCTTGGGTTACCACTTCCACAGGAGGGCATAAAACTAAGACAACGGCTGGGGTGGAATGGGGTGTGGGACAGACTGGATTACTGCTACACATACTTGCTAACCAGGGTAGGGGGCGGGCCTGGTGGGGGTTATTGCGGGTTGCTCCAACTAGGCTGCAGCTCCCACTGGTTTATCTGAGGGTCAAGTATGTTTATCTGAGGGTCAAGTATGTGCTGGGCAGAACCAGGCTGGACTGCAACACCCACTACTAGTTCCAGTGGAAGTCGGGAGTGAAAACAGAACCAACCCAGCAATTACAACCACCAGCTGATCAGGGCGATGGACTGTGCCGGGCCCTGTACTTGCTAGTATATACAAGAATCTGGTTTGAGAACACCTCAGACAAAGTTTCTTTGGAGATCTTCCTAATCTAAATGCTAGACTCAAAACCCTAACCAAGAAGAGAGAAGATAGAACAGGTCAACCAACCATCTCAGTTATGATGGACTATGTCAATCAGTGGATTTTTCAAAGACCTCATAGTGCTTGGAGTGGCAAGACTGGCAGCAATTTGTAACTGTTGAAATATCAAAACCACTTGAGCAAGAACCTCAGAGCATGCCCTACATCAGGGACCTGGGGAGGGTGGGAAATTGGGTGGGCCTTCTCCCTTAATACCCCCCTTTAAACATGAAGGAAACAATATGGAAAAAATACTAGTCTTATCCACTTTCCTGTAGCCCTTGAACCTTTTTACCCTAATTAAAGATTGTCAAAATAAAAAAAATTTTAAAAAGTGGAATCCCACCATTTGCAACAAAATAATCCCAACTAAAGATCAATATGCTCAGTGAAATTGTCAATCCCAAAAAGGCAAAAATAAATTCTCTGATATAAGGCAACTTTCACACAAGATACAAGATCAACAGATATACAGGTAAGCATGTGTATACATATATTCATTTAGAGGAACTGTATCAGGGAGATTAGCATACTAAGATACAGTGCACTATGCATCTCTATTCCCAATGAATAAAAGATGGACTACTAAATATATCTTAATAGGATGCTGGACTTTATAACACTGTCTGCACCTACAATGTCATGATGCACTTCAGCAGCAGAATGACGGACTTGTGACTGTTGTTGAAGGACTTACTATTGTAATAATGTAGGGAAAACCGTGGGAGGAGGGTAAATGGGGAAACCCATCAGCCTATGCAACTGTATCGTGAAAAATTTTAAAAAACCCACCTGTTCTTAAGAAAAATAAAACTTAAAATTTGATGTTCAATATAATTTTAATTTTATTTAAAGTGTTAACATAATAAAACATTTTCCCAATTAAAAATAACTACCACATGTATATTTAGTTTAACTGACAGAGTAGAAAGAGTAACTTCTTGAAGTGTAAGGGACAGGCCAGATCATGACAATACTGGCAGAAATCTTTGCAGATCAAATTTCTTGGGACATTTTTGGTAACATAAACCAATTTTCCTGTCCAGCACCGATATCAAGTTTAAGCAAACCAACCATTTCTCTTTGATTTATACAACCTCAACATGTGGCTTGGTCTGGTCCTCAGAAATCTTTGTATCTTAGCACCACTATACATGGTTCTTCAAAAGGTTCGTAGAAAACACGCATCTCAATTCCACACACCCATGACCTTTCCAAAGCATTCCTATGCTTCCCCTGAGACTTTTTACCATTTTGTTTCCTCTCCAACAGAAGCTAATTTAATCAACACAACCCAGGCAACACTGGAAGTCCATCTTTATGGCAGTAAGTGATCTGAGAGCCTAGCTCAAGCAGGAGGCTTGTAGTTTTCTACTATATTAGAGTCATAGGCATGTTTCTCAATCGTTTATGGTTTGACCTTTAAATTTCAGATACTTAGCAGTGTAGATTATATGGATCACCCATCAAGCATCACTGACGGACTCCCCCCCCACTGACACGACGTGTTGACAGAACGCATGTGCTCGTCTATTTATATATAGGCACCTGCCTTGTTTTAATGGGAAAATTTAGTCAACATCATTCTTAAGAATGTAGCCAATACCTGACTAATAACTCTAGTTTTGCTTCTCCAATCTCCTTTGCTTTTTGCTAGAATGGTCACTCTGACCTTTGACCAGAAAATGGGTTAAGATGTAAATTCAACTGAACCGTTGTATAAGCACTCCATTCACTTACAAACATACACCCTCCTCCTGCCTGTGTGCAGGTGTCTAGAAGCTGAAGATGGACTGACATGGTCCCTAATCTCAGGGGGCTAATTGGTGCTGAAAGGGTAAGAGGAAAAACGGTACAAAGCAAGATACTTTCAGGTCAAGGAGGAAGCCTTGAAAAATGAAGTGGGAGTGAGGGTTGGAGAGCCCTGGGAGACTTCCCTGAGCAGGTGATGTGTGAGCAAGACTTACAGGGCAGGAGAATAAACGCTCTGGCAGAAGGGATGAAACAGAAGGAGCAGCGTGTGTGGCAGTGTGCGGGTGGAGGAAGGAGGCCAGATGGTGAGGACAGAGGTTGGCAAGGGTGAGGTCATGTCAGGCTTTCAGGATACCACAAGGAGTCTGGATTCAGCAGCAAGTGCAACTGCAAGCGATCTTTAAGCTGTGGTGAATACGATCCGATGCACATTTGAGGACCAGCTGGGGAATGGGTGGATTGGGCTGGGGAATGCCGTGGAGACTAAGCTAGCTGGCATCTGGGAAGGTGGAGGAGAGCTGGGCGGAACTGATGCCCATCAGCAATATGATGGGGAGGAATTAAGCAAACCTCCTGGAT